GTTAGGTTGCACGGTTTGCTTTGTTTGCATCGGGGAAACAAATAGCTCCCCCACCCCGCTATGTAATAGCCAAACAAAAGCAGTGAGGTGCAGAACGCACCAGCATTGTGCCGACCCAGGCACGTGGGATAGGCAGTGCGCAGTCCATCAGAACTTTGTTTATTATTATTATAATTCAAATAAAATGGGCAAAAATGTGTTTTGTGGTCACTTGAAGTTTCTCATGAACGGCCAATTGCAAGGTAATTGCCTGGCTGCAATTGAAGCCTGGATTTCAAACGGCCCTGGTTACTCTGTAGGGCTTCATATTTTTCACAAATTTCCTAGGACTGTGCCATGGTCTCACTCTGTTTTTTTTTTCTGGAACCAGTTACGAGAATAAAGCAGTATATATGCGTGAAAAAACCACCACCAGGCGTCATATTACTCTGTTTATTTTACCGCTGCAACCTCCCGACTACGGTCGCAGCTGTGTGTACAACGCCGTTGGATCACCCTCTGCTCGCTCGGCAAAACTGGCCTCGAGGCTGGTCGTTTTTTTTTTCCGCGGTGCATTTGACTGAGCTTGATACCATCCACTCATTGCAAATGAGTGCTTGATTATACCTTGAACTAGATGCAAGATTTAAACCTCCACTCTGATATTGATAGGTGCACGTGCAGCTCTTTTGGTCATACACTGCTGAATGGGTGTCTCCCTAATTGACCATACGTGGATATGAACTCCCCAAAATACAGAGTGCTTCAAAAAAATGTTGACACTTACATGGGACTGTCGTTTTTGATGTAAAAAGAACGCACAGTATAATACACTATCATAACAAATGCATGTTAATAGCTTCATGCCTGGAATCTTCTCCAGGTGGTCTCCGGAGCCTGGAGGCACATTTCTTGTGGTATTGTTGCAAATTTTCAGAAGTGTAAAACATTTTTTTTAAGCACCCTGTATTTTTAGGAATTCCATAAAACATTTTCCCATCCGCCGCGGACAGGATCACCGTAAGCGCGTGCCGTCGGGCGACATGACCAGCAGCGATTGGCAGGGAAACGCTCTTCTGGGTGCTAGTGCACTGTAGTTTGTGTCCTCGTGCTCCGAGGACTTCATCGACATCCGCGTGGATTTTGGCCTTCCTGCATATTTCAAATGCAATTACCGGCAGCTGTTTTCCCTGCGAAATGTGGCCATCGCTTTAATTGCACGAAACCCCGCGCCAGCGCCCGCACACACACACATGCGCGCACGATGAAGGCTGCGCCGCTAAAGAGCTGACGGTCAGTCGGTGGTTTTCAGCAGCGCTTGGGTGGCGGCGGCAGCGGCGGCGATGACGGCCAAGGGCATCTGACCCTCCAAGCCCATTACCCTCCAGCTGCCAAAGTGTCGTTTGTTTAGTGGGGGCAGGGGAGTTGCTGGTTGGTGCCACTGGCCGCTTCAAAAGTGCCGCTGCGCCCACTGGGCAGGCCGCGAGAGAGCGGCCCGGAGCACCTGCCCGGGGCTCACAACAACTCCAACAAAGCGCCCTTTGAGGCTGCGTTGTGTGGGCAGGCAGCAGCAGCAGCGCTGTATCCAGGGGATTAGTGGATATTAAATGACTGAGGCACTCTGATGGGGGCAGCTGAATTCATTAAGGGCTTCCAAGCACCTGGGTGCAAACCATTTCTATTTGCAGCAGGAAATGTGCTGCCATTTTATTTTTTGTGTTCCTATTTTTTTGTGTTTGTATTTATTTGACGAATTGTTTTTGTGTTTTTTTTACTTTCTAATTCCAATTGTGCTTCAGGTTTTGTGTCATGAGATGGAGGAATTTTTATTGGAAACTCTTACAGCATTAGAGAATGGCCCGTGGAAGATGATATCAAGGGACGACTTTTGAGGTCCCTTTAAGGGGGGACCCCTTATCCACACGATTCCTTCTGTACTTTCCCATGCGCCGTGGGAATCAAAGTCCATTTAAATATTTCATTCTCGAAATTGTAAATGTGCCAAATTGAGTGAAAATTTCAAGTCGAATGTTACGTTTTTTTTTAGCGATCGAGCCAATACCATCAACTCAGTTTAGTTGAGAGGCCATTTCAACCACCGGTAACTTTGATGGATTCAAAGCCATCATCCTCAGTGCTGTGACTCACAGCCCGTTCAGCCACGCATTGTACGTTTCAATAATCAGATTTTAAACTTTGAGTTAAAGCTTTCGTGACTGCAGGAATTCATATTCTTGGTTCTTTCGGTAATTTTTTTCTTTTTCTTTTCTATCTACGTGACTTTACCGAAAGAGCCAAGAATACAGATTTTAAATGCTCCGAATGCACGGCGAATGTGTACGATGCAGGCAGCGTGAACGTATTGTGCGATTTACACCACCAACGTTTGTGTCCTTTGCATAAACGTGATAAACGCGAACATTAGTGTGCGGCATCTGCCGCGCTCGTTTTTTACAACTTGGCATCGATGTGATTTGTTTGAGCTTCTGTACGAATGTCGTGCAAAAAAAAGTAAAAAAAGTGGAATGTTCTGCCGGGCTGAAATGAGCCGGCGGGAGGTGCTTATCTCCTTGGGTGATCGTGGTTGTGGCAGAATGCTGGAAATTCCATGTTTCTATGACAGGGAGCAGTATTTCTGGCACGTGACTACTATGATCCATATCTACTTTGGAGAAGAGAAAATTACACTCAGATCTTAACCGGTGAACTCAAGCTTGTTGAATGACTTATAGAATGCAATACAATTCCTTTATATAAGATCGGCTCATAGCCTATTTACAATAAAAGTCTCATTACAAAGGGGGACTTGGGTTAAAATAAATACATCGTCACAGCACACACGAAACAAATCAAAGCCCAGAGTTAAACATCGCAACAGGAAATATACCAGAAAATTCTTTACAGCGTGTTTATGTGTACGTACACAGGTCCATTGCTCAGCTGCGCAATGCCACGTGTTTACGCTTGTGCGTGCTTTCACACAGCATCTGTTTGCGTAACCAGGGATTGTGAAAATATGATCCGCGCACACACACGCGCGCGCGCACACTTTGTCGCAAGCACACACTCACAAACACACTTGTGACGCTTGTGAAGCACACGGGGAAAGCAGAGAAGAGGCAGTGAGAATTGGTGAGCGGCCTCCACGCCACCAACTCCGGTCAACACTTGCCGCGCACTCAGCCCTGCTGCCCTCTGCCAGTGCAAACTGTGCTGGCCCGGTGCTCACGCTGAGCTGTTCCCAAGTGTCCGTGTTGCCATGGTGGCTCTCATCACGTTGGTTGAGTGTGGATCGAAGGGGAGGGTAGGCCCAGGAGACAGTTCAGATATCCATCGCCACTGTTAGCTGTGGATGGGAATCGAACTCGGGTCGCCGGATTCATAGTGCGGTGCGCTAGCCACTGTGCCACCGCTTGCTCCATTAACTTAACCCATGCTTTCAATAAATTTTATTGAGATGTGTTTGCCAATTCAACACAAAACCACTTTTTTTTAAGTTAGCGTTGTAGGCTGTAGACGTAAGTGATGTTAGCGAGGACCTGTCCCAGTTGTGCAAACTCCTTTGCCCAGTTTGGACACCGGGATTGTGCACCAGACACTCGTTACAAGACCTGGCTACTCACGGACGTCCTATGCCAGACTACCCACTGCTTCTGGTGATGTGCATGCCGAGGAATATAACCCAGGTTCATGGACATGTAGTGGAGTGCCTGAACCACCGTGGCTCCACTCCCCATAAGCAATCTTCATGATTTAGTCATCAGCTTTTAATGTTCAATCACCTTTCACAACACACGCACACACACAACCCATACACACAAACCAACACACCGAGAACCACCCACTGGCTCTGAATGTGTTTTTGAAGACAGTTAAGGCTACAAACAAAGCGTTTATATTGTTACCTGTTTATATGCGAGCATGAGTTAGTGCGACATTGCTTCATTTCTCTTGCACTGTCGATGAATCACGGCGCTTGCTGACGTCCATCTGTTAGCTGTGATGTGGGTAGAGTTGTTTACATGGGAGCCACTGCTAACGCTTAGCGGCTTAAACTTTTAAATACACGGTTGTGCCAGCTGTGACGGTGCACACCTGTAACATAGAGAGACACCTGCAACCTAGGGATGGGGGTTGGCGGATCACGAGCCATGGTCATTGATGCCACTCGATGTTAGTATGACGAGTAGGCAGGTTCACCTCTCCGTATGGATGTGTGAGCGTCGTGTCCCTCGGTATGCGTAGAATTTCTGCAGGTGCTCTGGTGTCCTCCCCCACGTGTAAAGTACAAATGATGTCATTGGTCAAAAATGACAATGCGTGATCCTCCCCGGAGTCTTCTGGATAAGTGATTCAGAAAAATGTTCAGAGTATTAAATACAGATCATTCTTAGGAAATGTGCCAGCGTGCTCCCTGGTGGAGCAGATGGCCCCGGAGTCCACGGTTTAATTCCCACTCATGTCTGTAAACTTATACCAAATAGCTACGGTGGGGGGGGGGGGGGGTTGTATTTCTAAAACTCAAGTCTGGACTGCGAACGTGAAATCGTGGCCCTCTCAGAGGACCCCGCGGTGCTGCTCGAGCACGGGACGGGCCACGCTGCTCCTGGCCGTGCCGGTGGCCGCGTCCGCTCCACTGGGTGGCTGTGACCCCGCGTTGCCTTCGCTAAGGGCCGCGTGCGCGTGGGAGTCGAGTCATGTGCTAACTATTTAGGCATTTGCAATAACATTAGTTTTGCCCCGGAGGCCCTCAATAATGCATTTCTTCTAATAATGCCCAGCTTTGTGGGGGCGGCGCGCGCGGGCGTCCGCCACTCGGGTTACACCACCTCCAGAACGCGCCGGCGCTGCCGCTGCCCACGTGCGGAGCGAAGGAAATGGCAGAGCGTGTGCTCGGCTCGCTCGGGGGGGGGGGGTGCCGTGAGCTCGTGGGGGGAGGGGGGCTACTTGTCGAGTCGGGAGCCTTGGGGGGCACCCTCGTCTTGTGGGGGGGGGGGGGGGGCGGGTCGTGCAATCTCGACACACGGATGGGTTGCGCCACCTCTAAGGTGTAAAACCACCAAGGGGCCTCTGGTGGCAATGAGAAATGCTGTACAGTATCTCACAATGCCGGCCGAGGGGAGAAGCGCATGCGAATGCGTTGTTCTCGTGACACGACCGAGGGAGTTTACGGTCCCCGCAGGAATGACATTTCCCGGGGACGGCGACCTCAACAAAGAGGAACGGCCCTGGATAAAACCCGAACATGTGGCGGCTCTAAAGGCAGCACACGGGGGCCCAAGCTGTACACCTGTGCGCACGCTGTACACCTGTGCGCACCCTGTACACCTGTGTGCACGCTGTACACCTGTGCGTGCCCTGTACACCTGTGCGCGCGCGGTAAATAAAGCCTGCGACGGAACCACGTTGGCAGAGGTTCACAGCACCGCCCGATAACACCTCGCCACCTTCGCCATTGCATTCCGAACATCGTCACGGCCATTGCCGCCACCTCCTAGTCGCCGTTGCTCTGAGTCTACGTCGGCCATACGGAGGAAGAAGAAGACATGCTGTTTCAAGTGGCTGTCGTTGTTGTTGTGTTTCTGTGTAAGAGCCTGTGACTGCATCACCAGCAGGAGGAAGAAGAAGACATGCTGTTTCAAGTGGCTGTTGTTGTTGTTGTGTGTTCTGTGTAAGAGCCTGTGACTGCATCACCAGCAGTGCCTCCAAATCTTGTGAGCCCTCGCATGACTCGACCCGAATGGACCTCACTTTTGCGTCTGTTTGTCCTTTTGCCCGTCTTCTATCTTGTCCATCGTTTCTCTTCATCCACCCGCCCGTCCACCCCTCTCCGCACAATTCAATGCGCATTTCAATGCGAGCATCACTAATTGCAAGCACGTGAGCATGCCGATGCTGTAATTATGAAAGCACCTGACCATACCCGCACAGGGCGGCGTTCTGCAAGACCCAGGCTCATGCGTGTGGCTGATGTGTTAGTCCTGTGGCTGATGTGTTAGTCCTGTAGTTGATGTGTTAGTCCTGTGGCTGATGTGTTAGTCCTGTGGCTGATGTGTTAGTCCTGTGGCTGATGTGTTAGTCCTGTGGCTGATGTGTTAGTCCTGTGGCTGATGTGTTAGTCCTGTGGCTGATGTGTTAGTCCTGTGGCTGATGTGTTAGTCCTGTGGCTGATGTGTTAGTCCTGTGGCTGAGGTGTTAGTCCTGTGGCTGATGTGTTAGCCCTGTGGCTGATGTGTTAGTCCTGTGGCTGATGTGTTAGTCCTGTGGCTGATGTGTTAGTCCTGTGGCTGATGTGTTAGTCCTGTAGCTGATGTGTTAGTCCTGTAGCTGATGTGTTAGTCCTGTAGCTGATGTGTTAGTCCTGTGGCTGATGTGTTAGTCCTGTAGCTGATGTGTTAGTCCTGTGGCTGATGTGTTAGTCCTGTAGCTGATGTGTTAGTCCTGTGGCTGATGTGTTAGTCCTGTAGCTGATGTGTTAGTCCTGTAGCTGATGTGTTAGTCCTGTGGCTGATGTGTTAGTCCTGTAGCTGATGTGTTAGTCCTGTAGCTGATGTGTTAGTCCTGTAGCTGATGTGTTAGTCCTGTGGCTGATGTGTTAGTCCTGTGGCTGATGTGTTAGTCCTGTGGCTGATGTGTTAGTCCTGTGGCTGATGTGTTAGTCCTGTAGCTGATGTGTTAGTCCTGTAGCTGATATGTTAGTTCTTTAGCTGATGTGTAGTTGATGTGTTAGTCCTGTGGCTGATGTGTTAGTCCTGTGGCTGATGTGTTAGTCCTGTAGCTGATGTGTTAGTCCTGTAGCTGATGTGTTAGTCCAGTAGCTGATGTGTTAGTCCAGCAGCTGATGTGTTAGTCCTGTGGCTGATGTGTTAGTCCTGTAGCTGATGTGTTAGTCCTGTGGCTGATGTGTTAGTCCTGTGGCTGATGTGTTAGTCCTGTGGCTGATGTGTTAGTCCTGTAGCTGATGTGTTAGTCCTGTAGCTGATGTGTTAGTCCTGTAGCTGATATGTTAGTTCTTTAGCTGATGTGTTAGTCCTGTGGCTGATGTGTTAGTCCTGTAGCTGATGTGTTAGTGCTGTAGCCCACGGCTACAAAGTGCTCACGTACAATACAACCCTGTGACACAATTCTCTTTTATGCAGCGCCCCGGAATTAAAAAAAAACACAACTTTAAAAAAATCTGTTGGCCAATTATTTCGGCTGAACAATAAGCCAACTCAAACACTTAATATGTTGTTTTTTTGTATTTTTTTTATTTTAAAAGATTCAATTATGCCAGCATTCCTGATATGGTTTGTAATACAGTTCCAGAAGCAGGCACCATAAACAATGAAAGGTGCTTGCCCTTTCCTGATTGGAGGAATTGCCAAATGGTTACCATTTACCAAGGGGTACGTATGTACGTATGTTCAACTTCTTTCGCACCGTGCGTAGCCAACCGAGATAATCGGAGGTGCGGGGAAAGGACAACAAACTAAACACAAAAAAGCAATTCTAAAGAAATTAGTTCTCATTCTAGAGTAATAAAAACGGGGATATCTCCAGTGGCTTCATAATATCTGAAGCCACGCAATTTGGGGGGGACAGCTGTCCGCACGGATGCAATTGCAGTCCCGCTCCGCTCTCCTGCCATGTGTTAGTTAGTCACCGACAAACAGCTGGGCGGCTAGTTGGCCGCTCCGCACACGCTTCCCTGCAATCCACCAACCCTCGCCAACGCGGCGTCACGGGCGTGCGCCAACACGCTCGGGCCATATTGAGGGGGGCAACCGGTGGAGCAAAGAGTGTACAGGGCTCACGGTTTTGACGCAAGATAATCTTACCGTGTCGGGTGAGCATTAATTTCCCTTAATTACCGTTACCGCCGCTGTTGAAATGTCTTAAGTGAGAGTAATGTGCGCTTTTTTTATTTTCACGTGGCCTCATACTTTTTGGCTCTCCTTGGAGGAACACTTCAATCGTCAATTTTCATGACAAATGAGTCAAAAAGAGTGGTCGGGTATGGTTGGAGCCGTTACGCAATGATGCAGTGCAGGATAACTCAATTTGTACGCCTGGTTGCCAGACTAAGAAGTGGGTGGCACGTTTCCGTTGAGTGTTCTCCTGCTGCGAGAAAAGCCACCCTTCACATTATGGAATTAGGCAATTTGATGCAGTGAATGCATTTCTTTTCCACGTGAGTTTGCATCGAACCAGACGGCATAATTTACAGCTGTCATTGTCCTCGGATCACCGCTAAGATTTACGGACAGTCCTCAACAATGTGCATCGTCATAATCGTCAGTGGCATTATTGTCTGGCTTGCACCACAGCCACAGCAGGTCACAGCTGCAGATGTAGTAATCACAATGCCATATTTATTAGTAACCTAGAAAAGCATCACTGAGCTTCGTGACTCTGTTTTGAGAGCGTCCATTTGGAATGCTCACAGACACAGAACAACCTCTCTGGAAGACGACATCACAGAACTACTGCTGAGGCCCTTTCCGCCGCATTAACCTTTCACTCGTGCGCCTCATTACCGACGCCTCCGCCGACTCACCTGCTGCCCGGGAGCGCGTACCTCGCTCGGGCCGGCCCTGTTGGCCTTGGGGGGCGGTGAGAGGCGGCGTGGTGCCGCTCGCGCCGGGCGAGACAAATCGGTTAAACGCGGCAGCCCAAACGCGGGGAGGCTCTAATAAACGTGATAAAAACGCGCGATGGTGCTCAGATCGCGCGAGCACATGGTCCCGGCGAACGCCGCTGGAGCGGAGGGCGGACGGGCGGGCGGACGACCCCCGGGGTCACGCCTGCGCGTCTCGCGGCCCGCTTCACAAAAGGGGCGCCGCACCAGGCGGGGCGCGGGGCTCCTCCGCTGGGGGTCCCCGGGCGGCGGCGGCGGCGGCGGCCCCCGCGAGAACAGCAGATGGGCCCGCGCGGCCGGCGCCAACGCCCCTCCCATTGGCCGATTCACCAGCGGTCACGGCTGTAGAATTAACTGAAATCCCACGCGGCCGCCGGTGCCGACGGGGACTCGGACCCCCCTCCCCCGGGCCCCGCGCGGCGGTGCCGCGGAGACCCTGGCGGGTGCCCTCCTCCCCCTCCTGTGCGGCCGAGCCCGCCGGGGATTATGATAATAATGATGATGATGACGATGCAATTTGTAGCACGCTCTCGATTTCCCGTGACACGTACAGCCGTGACTGTGCGGTGCCAAGCTCGGTGATGGACTTTGTGAATTTTTACAGGAAATTATTACAAAAGGAAAAACATTTCTTCCGTGAAAAACAATTCTGCTTCTTATCTTGACAACGTGTGAAAGCAAGGTCCTGCGGTCAGCACCAACGTTCCGCTTCGAATTTTCTTTTTTTTACAATTGTCACAGAGCAGAGCCAATTCACGGACAGTGTCTTCGTAGCAACAGAATAACCCCCCCCCAAATAATGCACTGGGACCACTCGGGCAACCACGGTGGACTGAGCTCTTAGTTAACGCACTGGTAAAACTTTCCTATTGAGTTGTAACTGGCTGGGTGATGGAGTGCGCCAACCACCTTGGCTATCATGTGCAGGGGCAAAGCACGAGTCTAGCCCATCTCACCCTTCCTCGTGAACTCTCCCCAACCTTGGCTGTGCTCACAGAACGCTTCGTCGGACTGGCTTGGTTCGCTTGGCTATCACGGCCACAGTTTCTTAGCGATGTTTTTACATTCATCCCTTTTTCGCGCAGATCGTCGCGTAAAGTTCACATTTGCTCGGACGGGACGCCAGAGCTCGACGTAGCTGAGCAACGTGGCGAGCGATTAAAATCTATTTGCCCGTTGAGCCCTGCTGCGAGATGCCACGAGCCGGGCGTATTAGCGGTGCGCGGCTCCTCGAGAGGCTGGGACCAGGGAGCGCTTGGTACCAGGGAGCGCTTGGTTCCAGGGAGCGCTTGGTCCCAGAGAGCGCTTGGTACCAGGGAGCGCTTGGTCCCAGGGAGCGCTTGGTTCCAGGGTGCTCTTGGTCCCAGGGAGCGCTTGGTCCCAGGGTGCTCTTGGTCCCAGGGTGCTCTTGGTCCCAGGGAGCGCTTGGTCCCAGGGAGCGCTTGGTCCCAGGGAGCGCTTGGTACCAGGGAGCGCTTGGTCCCAGGGTGCTCTTGGTACCAGGGAGCGCTTGGTCCCAGGGAGCGCTTGGTCCCAGGGAGCGCTTGGTACCAGGGAGCGCTTGGTACCAGGGTGCTCTTGGTACCAGGGAGCGCTTGGTACCAGGGAGCGCTTGGTTCCAGGGAGCGCTTGGTCCCAGGGAGCGCTTGGTCCCAGGGAGCGCTTGGTTCCAGGGTGCTCTTGGTCCCAGGGAGCACTTGGTCCCAGGGTGCTCTTGGTCCCAGGGTGCTCTTGGTCCCAGGGAGCGCTTGGTCCCAGGGAGCGCTTGGTCCCAGGGAGCGCTTGGTACCAGGGAGCGCTTGGTCCCAGGGTGCTCTTGGTACCAGGGAGCGCTTGGTCCCAGGGAGCGCTTGGTCCCAGGGAGCGCTTGGTACCAGGGAGCGCTTGGTACCAGGGTGCTCTTGGTACCAGGGAGCGCTTGGTACCAGGGAGCGCTTGGTTCCAGGGAGCGCTTGGTCCCAGGGAGCGCTTGGTCCCAGGGAGCGCTTGGTTCCAGGGTGCTCTTGGTCCCAGGGAGCACTTGGTCCCAGGGTGCTCTTGGTCCCAGGGAGCGCTTGGTCCCAGGGAGCGCTTGGTCCCAGGGAGCGCTTGGTACCAGGGAGCGCTTGGTCCCAGGGTGCTCTTGGTACCAGGGAGCGCTTGGTCCCAGGGAGCGCTTGGTCCCAGGGAGCGCTTGGTACCAGGGAGCGCTTGGTACCAGGGTGCTCTTGGTACCAGGGAGCGCTTGGTCCCAGGGAGCGCTTGGTCCCAGGGAGCGCTTGGTCCCAGGGAGCGCTTGGCACGCGCTCGCCAGGACGGCGGCAGCGTAGCGGCCGAGCGGTGCGCACTTTTGCCGCCGAGTCGTCTGGGGATCGAGTTTGCTCTTGAATTCCTGGAGCGCATTCTGTTATTTTCGTGGGGAAATTTACAGAATAAATAATTGATGAGGATAATTAATTGGGTACGTTTGCCGTTTGCGCCACTTGCAGGGCGATCGTCACGAAGGCGCCATCGCCGTGGTTTCACAGTAGGGCGGCGATGGTGCTGTCTGCGATCCCAATTGAGTAATTTGCAGTGTAATATTTAAAATTTGCCAAATCTGGATATCTCTTCATGTTTTCCAATCTGCAGCAGAATATATACAGTATAACACAGTCATGTAATAATAATATTTTAAGGATCAACAGGTTTTTTTTTCATGAGAAGAACATCGCTGCAGGAGTACAGGGGTCATAGGTCGGCGTCTGGAAAAGCCATTCCCATCAGAACTCCGCTTCTTTCTTCGGGCAACTCCCGAGTCACGGTCTCGGACTCCTGGGCAAATTTACTACCTCCGTGGCCACTGCGACCACACCGGGGTTGGGTAGGCAGCAGGGGAGGGAGAGGGTGAGGGGGGGGGCAACTTTTATTGCACCCCCCCCCCCATTCCCACCGCATTTCCGTAACGCCCCACACCTCCATGCACCAGTCTGTTGGAAAAATTTGCGTGATAAACAGCTCGTCTTTGAAACCCATTATGCCCTCCCTCCCCCAACCCACGGCCTTTAGTCTGCTCCTTTGTTCATTTTCGGCAAGGCCTTTACAATCTGCTTGCCGGTTGAGGCGGCCCCCCTTCTCCGCTCAGTTATTTATACGGATTGCGTTGTGGCTCTGCCGTCCACTCCTAAGCAACTGCACCGAAGCACAATGGCGGCCTTTGTACGAGCTGAATTCTCTGGAATCTGTACCGTTTCGCAAAAGGCCAAGCGTTTGGCCAGCGCTCACGCGCGAAGCACCACTGGATTGGCCCAGCGGTGAGATCGTCCGGAGTGAGGTTGGGCACGCGCTTGGGAATTTTGCATCCCGCACCGCTGTCCAGCAACAGCGTCCCCGTTAACAAAGTGGCACTGCCCGCTACGAGTTGAGACATTAAAGATGATGTCATCAACTCGCAGAAGCTGACCTTCAGCATGACGGTGTCGTCACGAGAATTGATGAACTTGTGGGGAGAGTTTTGCGGATTTGTATTTTACCAAGCACGGGAAGAATATATGATTTTTTTTACAAATATCACCGGATGAGCGCTGGAAGGCGGGACGTTGCAGCGACGTGGTTGTGGGCAAAGTGACAGCGTAGCATTGTGCACTTAGCAGCCAGTGCGCTCGCTCACCGCTCGGCACCTTCGATCGTTTGATCATTCCGCTTGAGCTGAAGAGCAACCTGCATTAGCGCCGCACGCCTTGGCGCTTCTCAAGAGGCCGGTACCAGCGCACACTCGGCACGCGCGGACCCACGTCACTAGCGAGGGGCCCGGCGCTCGGCCCACTCGACACTGGATCAGCGTAGATGGAATTTGCAGATTGCTCCTGCTGCCGAGTGATTGTATTGAGTGTCGGTAGTGTATGCCATCTGCCACGGAGTTGGCTTTAACTGCTCCGCGGTAGCTTTTTTACATTGAGTTCCAATGCCACGTCTCAAAAATACTTTTCAGACGTGAACAAAGATGACCGCGACGTAATCCCGACGAGATATGAAGCCGCCCCTGTGTAAGTGTTATTGCGACGGTCTCGCGCGTGATGTAACGGATGAACCTCAATGTGCCGGTTGCCATGGCTGAATCAAGGACGTTGAGTTGAACCTCACTGTGCGAGTGCGCGTCCACGTATCGCGCCGTCGCCGTATGGGACAATCGTGCGAGTCGTGCGTCCGTTACCTCCGTATCGCCCCTAGATTAACATCCTCGGCGAGGCAAACAGAGTCGGGGGGCGAGGTGGGAAGAGATGCGCGACTTTTTGCGTGCGTTGGCCATTTCACAAAAACTAAATTTGAAGTGTTGCTTCCTTTGAGCGAGCGGCGACAAGAGAAGGAACGCCGTGTCCCTGTCCGCTTGAGTTGCGGCCAAATGAACTCCGAACCCCATTTATTTCGCCGCCGCTTGAAAGGAACGCGCCTGATTTAATAAGCGCGGGCGGCGCTGCTGTGTGGCCCGGCGGTCTCCCTGCGCACTTTGCGTCGCGGTCGGCGACTGCGGCACGGTTCCGAGCGACTGCCCGGTGATGAATTTGGCAAGGAATGGACTGTTTACACTCCGTCTTCAAAGAGCACCGCTCGCAGGGCCATGTCGCCGTGTGCCCGGTTGCTAACTCCGCTGCTGACGGAAGGGCCTCCACTCGATGGAGCTCTGGAGAGCCCCTCTAGAGGGAGCTGGGCCTACTCTTCCACGGCTGTCCGGAAGTCTTGGAGTAGGTGGGAGTACCCACGCTTGACTTCACCGCAGGCGAGCTGTCGGGAGCACTGTGGTGTCCTGTACATGTTTACACTGCTGGGTGACCCGGAGTGGCGGGTCGGGGAGTGAAGAAACGTCCACCGTTGTGTCGGCTGCCCGTGCCGGGAGATCGAATCGACCGGGCGACCTCTGGTTGGCAAGCCCAGCGTGCGCTGACCGCTACTCCGCGGCGGTATGGAAAGTGACTTCCAACTTCATTACAAGCCCTTTTGGGTGGATTAAAATGAGTGCCAATTTGTGGGACGTCAGCTGGGATTTTTCCTTGTGAGGAATTGCCGCCCCACCCCCCCCACCATTGCTCACTTCAGCAAGGACACTGGCTTGACGTGATGTGGGCATCGATCTCTTCCTTTGTGGCCTCCAGAGGCCTGCCTCGAAAAATAACTTTAGTATCGACACCATGACAGGTGCCTGTGAATTATTACCTGGGATGCGCCCTCATCAAATCTTAGAGGCTCAGCAGGGTGGAGCTTGGATGATGCCTGGATGGTTGACCACTGTACACTCAACGGGGTGCTGTGGGGCTTCCTTTGCAGCAGGAAATAGTGGTGAAGTACGGTCGAGTCACCCCCACGTCCCGCACAACTGGCGGTGGATTGAAAAAAGTGTCGTACGTGTACATCGACGGGTACCCAACGCGGACGGAGGACGGCACCCCGTCGTAATTCTTGTTCGCATTGCCCCACAACGGAACATTTACAGTGGGCCAGTGCATTGCCCCACAACGGAACATTTACAGTGGGCCAGTGCATTGCCCCACAACGGAACATTTACAGTGGGCCAGCGCATTGCCCCACAACGGAACATTTACAGTGGGCCAGCGCATTGCCCCACAACGGAACATTTACAGTGGGCCAGCGCATTGCCCCACAACGGAACATTTACAGTGGGCCAGTGCATTGCCCCACAACGGAACATTTGCAGTGGGCCAGTGCATCCGATGAAAACATTATTGCAGGTACAATTCTTCGTTGTGTCACCTTGGCAAAGAGCGAACGGAGCTCGCGCTGCAGGGACCCGTCGCAGTCGAGGGTTGTGAGGTGACGGCACTCACAAGATACCGGGCTCCGGACAACGCTTCCTCTCGCCGGTTCTCTCGTCCGGCTTGAGACCAAAAAACAAAGAGCGGAAATGTGTGCGGAGTGCATCCTTCCAGTCTGGTCCAGTCACAGGGCAGCAGCATCCCCGGTGAATGGTTTAAAAAAATGTGCGTCAGCTGCTGGTCCTCTTTATTTGTTGTCCGTACGCACGTTGAACTTCGTTCGCACCCTGCATAGCCAACCGTGGCGAATTGGAGGTGCGGGGGAAGGACGACAAACTGACACACAAAAAGCAGTTCTAAAGAAATTAGTTTTCACCCTTGATGATTTAACAGTGCATTGCTCCAGTGGCTTCCTAATATCGGAAGGAAGAGCATTCCAGACGGCCGCTGAAGCGCATCCGAAGGAGCGCGATGGGGAGACCGTCTCCTTTGTTCGACGGCCAGCAGCCAAAATCCGCTTTGGCGAGGATGAGCGGCGTTCACGTGGTGACGGTTTACGCTCCCCTACGAGGTCGGCGAGGCGGTTTTGTTATTCTAGTTGAAGCGAAGAGGACCGTCCCGCGCAAAGGAGTCGGGGACAACGGCTGGCGTACATTGGGCGTCCCGTCGCGGTGCGCGGTGCAGTCGATGCCTCAACGGTGCCAGGCCTCCGAGCCGGCCGCCTGGCCCCGCTTTTACGATCCCGTTCACCTGCGTATCGGCCACAAAAGTTCTCGCTCGTTTATTTTTCCATGCCCTTGGCACTCTCGCTCTTGTTTACATCACCGCCGCTCCAACGTCTCCCCCCCCCCCCCCCCCCCACCTTTTCTCCATAAAATATACGGTTTTCTCGCCCCACACACACTCAGACTCCCCCCTCCCCCCCGGGGCCTCTCCTCAGCGCGATGTCACTGCCTCTCCTCCGCTACGCTCCCCGTCAGCTGAGGGGAGGCTTTCGCTGGACGTTAATTTAAGGTCGAGCCGGCGGAGGGAGGCCACTTGGGATAGCACCGGCCCCAGGGGTGACCCTCAGTCACTGGGCAATAAACGTGAGAGACGCCCCCCCACAGCACGCACGATCAGTGCCTCTGTGGGAGAGTTATTAGGTCTCATTCACGCCTACGTGCAAATGCGCGCACGCACGCCAAGCTTGGAAAAGGACAGATGGAGAGGCCCATCTGCGTGTCGCGTAGCACACGCCGCCCAATATACTGAGCAGGGCAACTCATTTAACCTTCCCGAGAACCGTTAAGAGAGGTGAAGCTTGCTGGGTGAAAGCTGCTGATGTGTGACTGCGACGCTGGCTCTCTGTCGTTGAAGGTGGTTGTGCTTGTGTATCTGGACTGTCTGTACATGTGTTTTTATTGCATTTTTTTTCTATACGCGAGCATGTGGGAATGTTTATGCGCATGTTCACATGTGCATCTAAGCATATTGTCGTGCGCACGTTCGCATGTGTCTGTTGCTTTGTGAACACGCGTGTCGGACTAGAAACATTGGACATTGTGAGATCCTGGATACAGAGCTATCTAGGCAGATTTATTGAATGTCCTCACCATTTAGGCAGGACTGCATTAGGTGGCTCATTAGGCCTAAGCTACCACTTGCTTGGGCATTTTTTGTGAGCTCATCTGGAGTGGTTCAAATGAGCACAACCCAGGCTATAGCAAGCAGCAGGGTCCAGTGACATGGTACGGGAGGACATCCCACTGGTTGGTATCTGCAGTGTCTGCATCGGTCTGTTCGGAGTTTGTGCTTGAGCGATGCCGCTGGGAAGCCTGTGACAGCCGCCCCTAGCAGTAACGTGCGGTGGAGGAGCTTTGCTCACAATAAGGAATAAAGCGTGGAACGGCTGAAACGTGGCAACGAGAGAAACTGAGTCAGAGTTTCCCAGAAGTCACAATTACCGTCAGTGCATCCAGCTACCCTATAGCATCTGGATTTATCCTACTATAGCAAGTCCATGAGCCTTCAGCGGTCTGCATGACCTCACATAATCACAAAGCTTAGCACAGGTAGCAGTACAAGATTTGAACAATGCCCCAGCAGTGGCCATGTCTGGCAGGCGAGGTTGCAGCGCCCAGCCACTCTTTGCTCAAGCAGCTTCGGTTTGGCCGACTAGCTGCACGAGTGCGGAATGAGCCAGATAATTAGCTGACATGGTACAGGAGGACCTGGAGATGAACGGACTTGCCAAAGGCCAGTATCAGAGGTGTCACGATCTACCTCTGTGAAGGAGGCTCGTGAATGATGCCATTTGCAGTTGCTTGCAGTCGCAACAGCAGGAGGTGGAGGAGGAATCCTTACAACAATGAGCAGTGTAATGGACTATTACACAGCGAGTTAGCGCAGTGGGAGCGTAAGTGGTGGACCTGCTGGTCACTCCGGTCTGTTAACCTATGGCACCTGGGTCTGTCATGTGACCTCCTGCAAGCAAACCTTCACCATGCCACGGCTGCAAACTGCACCTAACCTGGCACAAATACTGTGGTAATATCACTGCTACATAGGCAAAAAATGGATTTGATCGCTCACCACCGCTAACATCAGTGGTGAGCGATATGAGAATTGGTCCTGGAACTCCCCTGTGTAGACTCGGCCTTAAATGAGTACCGGGTGGCGGTGCGTGGACACCGGCACTGGGGAGACAAAGGCGGCCGGGCGTGGTGCTGTGACCATGCCGCTCTCGCCTTGTGCGCCGTCCTGCCCTTTGTTACCGGTGGCTGGCGGCACTTCCGACCGTCCGTCAGTGGCTGCGCGGTGAGGCGTGTCCGTATTTGACCACCTCTGTTCGTGTGCAGGCATCTGCAAGGCGATTGGAGTGAGCAACTTTCAGCAGCACCACGTGGAAGAGCTGCAGGAAGACTGCGACGTCACCCCACACGTGAACCAGGTGCGTGGGGCGCGCCGGGCTCCTCTCCACTTGCCTCTCACTCGGTCGGCTGCTTTGGTTTCACAGCCCTGCTCCGGCATCTCCCATGGTGAAACGAAAGCACGAGGATGCGAGTCAAATACCACGTGTGATTGTAATTGGTGTAACGGTACGCCTACCCAAACGTCCGCATGCTGAATGGAACAGCTTCTTCGTCTTCTGCACACATTTTCCCCTTCGTGGGAGAGCTGTTGGCTTTTGAATCGAGTGTTATGTGCGGTAGATATTTTCAACATTTTCTATTGCAATTTGTACTTCATGGATAGGAATAACACCAACTGATGCCACGCACTTTAAACTTAGTTATTGTGTTTGGAAACACCAAACATCTCCACGGAATACTTTGGTATAACCCGGAATCTGAGACACCACGTCGTGAAGGGCTATCTGTTAAAATCAAATTACAGCATTATTAAATTCCGACTTTTTTTAGAATGCCACGTTCCAGCAGTAATGTCCTTGCTTTCTCTTTGCTCTGAAAAAGGAGGGCTTCGAGCAGGGAAACGTTGGCCTAAGATACCGGATGGTTATTATCGTCGTATTATTTAGCGATGGTGATGGTAAAGTATTTAGGGGTCTGCGTTTCTACACGACCGCCAAAGCAGTGCCCGGGGTTTCTGTTTGAAGTTTTACCGCGCCCCTCGTGAGGGGGGGGGGGGGTCCCAGCTCCTTTGTCGTTGCCCCCTTCGCCACGTTCATTGGCGACGCTCAATAAAAAAAAAATCATCTAACGACACGGCAGCCCTGCCGTTAAAAAACGAAGCCTCGAGAGGATGGGAACTCAAACAAAAAAACACACCGCTATGAAGCGCTTCACTTAAAATAAAAGCGCGATCCGAGGTGCAGATCGAGCCCTGTTGGTCCTGAGCGGCCCACTGGTGGCAAGAGGCCTCAGCCATCTCTGTTGTTTCGATTTAACGCTTTCGTGACTGCAAGGGTTCATCTTCTTTGGTTCTTTCGGTAAAGTCACGTAGGATGAGAATAAAATAATAAAATATAATAAGACAATTCTCACGACGTTTCGGCCACACCACAAGCAGCCTTCTCAGGTGAAAGAACAGAACTGTCGGGACGACAGAGCTTCAACAGAACTGTCGTCCCGACATTTCTGTTCTTTCACCTGAAGAAGGCTGCTTGTGTTGTGGCCGAAACGTCGTGAGAATTTTATTGTGTTATTTTATTATTTTATTCTCATTCTACGTGACTTTACCGAAAGAACCAAAGAAGATCTCTATTGTTATTGTTGTTGTTGACCAGTTTGCTGGCTTTAGTCGATCCCCACTTCTGCATTTGGTCTCCAGTGACCGGCTTCAGGCTCCACGTGTCTTATTAAATCGCAATATTTGGCGAAGTTTGCTGCACGGGCAGTGGGATAGAAGCACAAATAACGGAAAGAAATCAACAAATTCGTCACTAACACCGCTTTAAACTCAACACGTCCATCAATAACACCGTGTTATTGATGGACGTGTTTCAGTTGCTTTCTTATAGCGCTCGCTGCTGTTAGCGAGAAACTAAACAGGGAATCTTTGTCTTTATTTGCGCAGGCACACACAGATACACATGCACACAAAGACAGGATTCTCCGTGTGGCCAACTCAGGCCGTTGGGACAAGTGCTGTTAGCGAGTAGCGCCTATGGAGCATGGCACAGCACACGAGGGGGTGAGTGGCCCCAGTGCCGATGTTATTTACATCCTTCACCAGTTACTCATTTAAGGCTGTGTTGACCTAGGGGAGTCCCAGGACTCGGTCCAGATATTCGTCACTGTTATTGGTCCCGAACAGGAACTGAACTTGGATCGCCGGGTTCATAGCGCAGCGCGCCAACGACTGTACCGCCGCTCTTCACACCTCCGCGCACAAACACGCACGACACGCACGGCACGCACACACACGACACGTGGACAACATCGGGGCGGGATATTTGTTTTTCTTAATGGGGCTGCTTGCCAGGGTACAGCCGCGCCGCTGCCGGTGTCTGCGCACGAACGCCGGGGACCTTTCTAGCCGGGGTCCCCCTGCAGAAGCCGTAGCTGGCAACCCCTTGGTCCCCCCGGGGGGGCAGCCCGGCCTGTGACACGGCCAGGATGGGACTCGCGAGACAGGAGCGGGTGAGAGCAGTGGCAAGGAGATGAGATGGGGAGGTGGGGGATGGGGTGGAGGGGAAAAGTGGGGTAAGGGTGAAGAGGTGGGTGATGGGGGAGCTTGACAGATATGCAGATGGACGGAAAGATAGAGGGACAGGCAGAGAGAGGAACGGAGCTGGTCCTGTGTGGTCGTGTGTGTCTGTCCCGGTGAATCGGTGCAGAATTCACGTAAACGTAAGGTTTATTTAAAAAAAATCTGCTTCGTAGATGTTTTTTGGCAGGTGTAAAGGTTTACCGTGTCTCAGTGAAACACGGCTTGTGGCACCGAGCCACCGCTGGCGCGGCGCTGTCTCGTCAGCACGAACAGCGCAGCACCCTCACATCCATGGGACTTCCTTCCCCACTGCTCCGCGCCAGCAGCCTACGGCAAAATAACCGTCCTGGCGACGGTGAAGCTTTCCAGGCAGGAATCTAAGCGAGGTTGGGGTCGGGTGTTATTGACGATATATACACACGTAAATTATGTTATTGAATGTTATTGTAACAATATACGGTACGTATGCAGTGTACGCCTCACAATATTATAGGGACCGGGTGGAGCGGTGGCGCAGTGGTTAGCACGTTGTGCTATGAACCCGGTGGCTTGAGTTTGATTCTCAGCTGCGGTTCGCACCAGGGTCGAGTGATATTTGAACCGGTCTCGGACGCTCCTCCCTTGCCAGCACGCGCTGACCGGGGTGGTGATTCGTGGTGAGACAACCCCGGTGACCCACAAGGTGTCAGCGCGGGGGGGCGTTCGTCCAGAAGCGGATTTCGACGAAGGGCTGAAAATTTGTTTTCGTTATGAGCAGAGCCACGATGCCGATCCAACGGAGGGTGTCCACGAGGTTCCTAGCCAGGTCATCTCATTTCCTCCCACGTGCAAAACAACTCCTTAACAAGCTGGCCAAACATCCTATTGCAGGATCCACCTGAAAAGCAATCTTGATACTTTCCTGGAAAAATAAGACTATGTACACCCAACCCGATCTTTTTCTGTTCTCAGTCGGTTGAAAGGGGATTTTTATTGCTTGGAGAAGCAACGTCGCCCGATTTAACGACGACATTCTAGTTGCGCGTGGTTTTAGAGCAGGGCGCTGATGACACAAACCACCTACCCCACGCTGTTTGAAGATGCTTGGCACAGCTTGGGGCCTACATAGGTGGTCCGGCCCTAACCTTACGAGGTCGTACCAACCCACCGCTGTCTCTAACTGGCCAATTTAGCCTTTTGTTAATAAAGCAGCGGTACTCCTTAAGAAGAAGAATAATAAATTACAGTTTGCTGTCAATCCACTGCTGGATGAAAGCTTCCCCATGCCATTTTAGTTCTGGGGGGTTGTTTTAACATTCCTCACCATGCTGCAATGGTGAGGGGAGGGAGCCCAAAACGGATTCGCACGTCACTCGCCGCTGACGTTCGCCATGGCCAGGACTTGAACTCGGGTGGTCGCGATCAGAGCAACGTGCGCCCGTCACTGTGCCACCACCCCGCAAGCCCAGGTTTCCAGGAGTTAAATTGAAGCAATGATTTAATGTCAAGAGCATATTGCGCATATCAATCATGATTAATACATCCAAGGAAGAGTCACTGCCTTGAGGCTTGCTGTGTTTCGTAAGAGAAACCTGGATGAATAGTTTTTTTTATGGAATTGTATCTTGGGGTAATGTTCGAAAGTAAATATTTGGGCCATGAGCAATAATCTCCACGCTGGCAAATGATTTAACAGCATCGTCATCGTCAGGGCCCACGAGTTAGCAGATGACACCCGTCAACAACCACCCACCGCTTTCGGAATGACAACGGTCCAAGTGGCATGCAGCGGTAATGTTGGTCATTACTTGGGTGATGCCTGTCACCCAGCACTCACCCAGCACCTCGTGGTCCATCGTCTAGAAAGCCACTAAACAGCACCGGGAGATGTACATTGGGGGGTGTAATGGACCCTCACTTAATGGACTGCATTGTTAGCTCTGTGCCTGTTTTGTGTACTCAGAGACCCGTGCAAAGGTTTACTCAATGAGTAAATCACGACCTTTGGGTTTTTATCAGTTTGCTTGTGCAGCCATCTCTGCCCAGCTTCCCTGAAGCGCCTTGTTTTTTGCACTTTAAGATGCACTGCTGACCACCGGCCCCTCCTCCACACCCAGGACCCCGACTCCCACTCGGCGGGCACTTCGTCATCGTCTGGCTTTCTGCTTTCTCTTCTTCGTCCTCTTCCTTGGAGCCCAGCCCTGGTCCTGAGTCCAGGACCAGGGCTGGGCTCCAAGGCTGGGCCTGAGGAGGGCCTCACTAAAGTTTTGGTTTGTTGGCATTTCCGAGATAAACGCACTGCGGATAGACCTTGTGTGAAGGTTTCTATCGCCCACATTTTTTCCAGCATAACTACTAAAAGCCGACAAAAACCAACACCAGGAGGCTAATGGTTTACGCTTGCATTGAGAAAAACGCTTTAAGAACCAGAATCGGAATCTGCGTTTATCGTGGAGAAATCCGATGAGCTTTGAAGCTCTTTTTTATATACAGATGTCCATCACAACAGCAGCATGCAGTGAGGGAACAACAATGGTGTTCAGCCACAAACGCATCCTCTTGTGCCGACGTGCTTTAGCATCCAGCGCTGCGGTGCGATGTGGTTGCTTTGTAGCGGCACGTGTTCGTGCCCATCTCCCTCGGTTTGCCTGGTTTGCCCTTATCTCCGAATGCCCCTAATTAAGACAGAGAGGACACAGTGCAGCCCAAAGACCCTAAGGATGCATAGTCTATATTTCAAGCCCTCATTGCAGCTGTCAGATAAATGCTCTTTGAGAAGTACTTGTAAGGACGTGTGGTCA